TCTCTTAACGTTCTCCGCATCCGGCGAATATGTACACACACACAAGCCACGCGCGAATGTATACGTATACGCCTTCGGGGATCCTTTTGTGCCCGTGCCACATTATAGGAGCTGGTGCATTAGACAGAGTAATACGGCTGGAGGAATTCCAATTGCAGCGCGGCCACGTCGTTCGGTTTAACGATTTCGTCGGACTTTAGAGAATACGGGGAGCTGCTGTATAGAGGAGGAATGGGCTTGTGTATAGACCGCTTCGTTGACATGTTTAAAGACCGTCGTACATCTCACGACCGGGTGGAATTGCATGTTGCCTTGGGCCGTGCGCAAATGTATCAATATTCATCCCGTTGATTCGCCTGTCACAAAATACGTATGTATATCGCTACGGTATTGTTAGGATGGCGTAGTAGTACGCTCATTATCGTTACAGCAGCATCGTATGCCGTTTATTTCGCGTGTTTCCCTTACGATGCTAATTTCACATGTGGAACTGTGTTGAAATCTGTTGCTACGTTAGAAAATATAAAGTACAAAAATATGTGAAAAGGCAAGTTTGCTGAAGAGAAGAGGTAGTATTTTGTCAATATATAATAATATTCAATTATTGTCTAATGATAGTGTTTGTTTAAGATATTTTATGTAAGAGACACGGGTAGAAATATTATATATTAGCTAAAAGATAAGAGACATATCAAATTGTTTCTGAAGATATCTTTAGAAACAATGATACTTTTTTTCTCTTTGCACGAAGTATAACGGTAAAGTGGTAACAACGGATACAACGCGGATATTTGACACGTGGTTTTTGTCAATAAAAAAAGAAGATTAAATACGATTAAAAAAGATGATGATAATGATGAAGGCTTTGATTCTAACCGTCTATCGTACTAAAGAAGTTAAGTATTAACTATATTATCTATTGGGTGTACAAATTAGTTCGGTCCGTTTTCAAAAGATGGCTCCGACTTTATGAATGGTTCATAGTGACTGCCGATTTTGGCGCTTTCAGAGAGGTTAGACATCTGCCAATAATATTCAGTTTATATCGTTGTGAGTTTCATTCAAAAACCTTGCTTTTTACAGTGTTGAAAATGTCGAGTTTTGTGTTAACCAAGCAGCATTTGCGGTAGGTTTTAATTTTCTGCTTTAACTGGAAGAAAAGTGCAGCTGAAGCCCATCGGATGCTTGTTGAAGTTTATGGTGACGTTGCTTCAACTGATAAATCATGTAGGGAACGGTTTCGACATTTCAAGGATGGAGATTTCAACGTCGAAGACAAGCCTCGCTCTGGACAGCTAAAAAAATTCGAGGACAAAGAATTAGAGGCATTACTCGAAGAAGATCAGAGTCAAACGCAAGAGGAGCTTGCAGAATCATTGGGAGTGACTCAACAAGCCGTTTCCGTACGATTGAAAGACATGGGATTTATTCAAAAACAAGGAAATTGGGTGCCTTATGAACTGAAACCGAGAGACGTTGAAAGGCGATTTTTCACTCGCGAGCAGCTGATTCAAAGGCAACAAAGAAAAGGTTTTTTGCATCGGATTGTAACTGGAGATGAAAAGTGGATATTCTACGACAACCCCAAGAAGAAAAAATACTACGCCAAGCCAATTGTTGCCATCGACATTAACACCAAAGCCGAACACACATGGTTCGAAGATTATGCTCTGTATCTGGTGGGACCAAAAGGGTGTTGTTTACTATGAGCTGCTGAAACCTGGAAATCCCATTACGGGCGATCGGTATCGGCTACAATTGATTCATTTGAGCCGTGCATTGCGAGAAAAACGGCCGGAATACGAGGAGAAAGACATGATAAAGTTATTCTTCTTCATGACAACGCTCGGCCTCATGTCGCAAAAGTCGTAAAAAAATATTTGGAAACGCTCAAATGGGATGTTTTACCGCACCCGCCGTATTCTCCAGACATTGCTCCTTCTGATTACTGGTTATTCCGAAGGATGCAGCACGATTTGGCAAGTCACCGGTTCACTTCTTTCGCAGATATCGAAAATTGGCTCCAAACTTGGATCGCCTCAAAAGACGAGTCACTTTTTCGAGATGGAATTCAAAAGTTGCCTGAGAAATAGGAGAAAGCAGTAGCCAGTGATGGAAATTACTTTAATTGATCTGTCCATTCATTTTGTTCTGAAATAAATACATTTTTTAACACAAAAAAACGGACCGAACTAATTTGTACTCCCAATATTTTTTATTTCTTGTTATGAAATGAATCAGCAGTCGAATATGATTCTTTCGTACGGTAATTTATTTCTGGAAGACTCTGCAAGAATTCTTGGAAACTGACTCCGAATAGTTGTAACTTGTATTTATAATGTGTCGGTAAGTCTCCTTGAACTGTAACCTGTACTTGTAATAATGCATAATATATACAACGTCATAATATGATACTTGAATTTGTAATTGTCTTGAGAAAGCGAGAGCCTGCTACGTACTATTATTCAGTAGCCGGTAACAAAGTTTGAGAGCACTTATTCTTGCATACGATATGCATCTAACGATATCTTGCAACGATAATGGACATCTTTATGTAACAAGCAGTATTATAAAATTATTATTATTAGTATTATTTATTTGTGCAAATATTTTTATTTGTTGTAATATAATTTTACTCAAGCTGTCTATTATATTCGACGCGCGGTTTTTATTAATAAAAAAAGAAAACAGGTGATGATGGTAATGATGATGATGATAATGATAAAGGCTATTGACTCCAACCATCTATCGTATTAAAAAAACTTAAGAATTAATTATATTATCTATTTTTTATTTTCTATCGAGAGTACTTCCTAATTTTTGTATTTCCTAGTTTTTACTCTCTATGAAGAGTATTATTTTCTAATCAATTTTATCAAACGGAAGTAATCGCAAAACATTAGAATAAAAAATATATTGATATTTTGTCTATGATATTTGTAAGATAGTATAATTTATAAAATAATATGTCATTAAGTGGACCATGCAGAATTAATAAAATATTTGTTATAACAAACACATTAATGACTGATGCTATTCGCCACATATGGATTAATAATTACATTATTGTGTGTGTGTATGTGTGTATGTATGAATGTATGTATGTATGTGTGTGTATGTGTGAGTTATATATAATATATTCAACATTAATTCATCTCATTAATTTATTTTTTGAATTAATTTGTTCAACTCATTAATAATCTCTTTCGTTATGTCGTCACATTATGTCATCTCAACGTTGTCGATATTCAAGTTTAGTCGATAACGATGACTAAATCTACGAATAAAACAAAAGGTATTAAGTTTTGCAGTGTTAAGAAAACTATTAGGTCAATCGGAAAGTTCCGTCTGTTTTCTTGCAAAACGTATGGCTTTATTTAAAAAACAAAATGAAAAAGTACATCAATCGAAGTATTGTCCATCGTTAGCGATGACTTTTTTCCATCTTTCGGTCAGCAAGCGAATTCCGCGGCGAAAGAATGACTCATCTTTGGAGGCTATTCAGTCAGAGATCCATTTGTCGACGTTTTCACAAGAATTGAAACATTCCTCAGCAAGTGCGTGTGCTATTGACCGAAACAAGTGGTAGTCGGAAGGGGCACAATCTGGTGAATAAGCCGCATGGGGGAAGCACTTAGCGAAGTGCTTCTAACGTTTCTTTGACAGATTTTGTGACGTAAGGCCGAGCGTTATCTGCATGAAGCAAAATCTCTTTATGCTGTCTCGTTTCATATTCTACTCGTTTTTCGTGCAATGCTCGGCTCAAACGGATCATTTGTTCTCTGTAGAGATCCCCTATGACTGTTTGACCACTTTTCAACAACTCATGGTACAGCACACCCTTCTGATCCCACCAAATACAGAGCATTGCCTTCTTTCCGTGGATATTCCGCTTTGGCATCGATGTTGAGGGTTGGCAGGGATCGTAAATAGTTTTTCGACGCTTGGGGTTGTCAAAATAAATCCATTTTTCCAGTGATGATACGATGTAAAAACCCCTTTCTTTGTTGCCTAGCAAGCAGAATTTCGCAGGTGGTTTTTCGCTTTTCAATGTCTCTTGAATTCAGTTCATATGGGACCCATTTCCCTTTCTTGTAAACCTTTCCTAAGGCTTTCAAATGATCAGAAATGACAAATTGAGCACAATTTAATGCTTCTCCAAGTTATTTTTGCATTTGACATGGATCTTCGTCCACCAATGCCTGCAATTCTTCGTCTTCGAATACTCTTGGCTGTCCAGAACGCTCTTTGTCCTCTACATCAGAATCGCCAATTTTAAAGCGTTGAAACCATTCTCTACATGTTTTATCGGAAGGAGCATTATCACCATAAACTTCTACAAGCATTCGATGAGTTTCAGCTGCAGTTTTCTTCCAATTGAAGCAGAAGATTAACATTTCGCGCAAATGACGCTTATTTGGCTCAAATTTCGACATTTTCGATGCAGTGAAAAACAATGTTATTGATGCAAACGTATACTTTTATGTACTGAATGTTATTGACAGATGTCAAAACAAACTATTAAGCTTCGTTTAGACATTACAGGTTAATGACAGTTCTAGCTATAGCTACTTGTCGCTAAACGGACGGAACTTTCCGATTTACCTAATACTAAGCAGCAATTAGTATGATAAAATTATTTTTGATTTATGTGACAATTCTTATGCGTGTAATAATACGTAATCTCTATACATATAACATAACTTCAAATTTGTTAAAAAAAATGCACTTGTGATTTAAACTTTAGACTTAAAATTTAGATTCAAGTAAATCGGCCAACGGCACTGTATGTAGTAATTTAATGTTTTCGGTAATAACTTATGCGACTGTGACAAAAAGATTAAGAAGTAATTGTGGAAGATATATACGTATATATTGATAATTAATATCCTCAATAACAACATTCAGATATAAACTTATCAATCAATTTAGAACTTTGCACGCTGGACGGCATACCCACTTGAGTGAGTAGTGTGGCAATTCGCACAGACTTATCAATTTCTCTCTATAGCAACGCAGTGCTTTGACAAAATGCTCAGTTGCGCTGCAAACATTCAACAAGACACTACTGTTTATCGTCGTATTATAAAATGATCATCGCCGTATTATTAACGTTTATTATTTTTATTATTGTTGCATATATTGCTTATGATTTTTATGTACATCATTCGAGATTCGGACAATTAATCAATAAAATACCAGGACCAAAGCCTTTGCCAATTATTGGTAATATACTGATATATCAAGTCGGACCTGGTAAGTAGAAGTTTCCTGATAAATAAAAAATATGATCACCGTTAATTCAATTTATTAACATTCAACTTTTTATTCATGCAAGAAGGAACCGAGTTTGCGTGTTAATATACCAAAACTGTAAACATTATAAAAAATTGATTTTATCTTTCTCTTTAGCTCGTTACATTTAACTGCTATAATTTATTGTCACTTAAATAACTATATAGAGTGTAAAGTTAAAGATGTTACAAATTATTATTTTTAAAATTAAATGAAATTTAAAATTCTTATTTTTTATTAGTCATTTGGTATCAAAAGTAATATCATATGATAAAGATCGTTTTCTCTAAGTAGAATCATTAAGATTATTTCACAGATATCTTGATATTTCAACTATATAATAATACTTCTATATATACTTTTTATTACGTATGATCATAGTCAGATTGCAGATATATATTTATTTAAATATATAAGATAGCTTATGTAAAGTGTAACAACCCGAAAATTCTAAAAATATTCTTCGTATCAAAAAGTTATCTGTGATAAAGTTTCATGTACTCGAAGGATCTTTCTATTATATTAATTATATGAACCAAACTCGTCCCTATTCTCTTTTGAAGGGGGCGGAGGGTAATTTCCAATTTCCAAAAGATCTTCCTAAAAAATATTATACATTTAGATATAGGAAAAAAAAACAAATAAACTTTATCTGGAATATCTCTTTGAAAAATACTTCTATTAAAAGTTATAAACAGTTCTATTAAAAGTTTAAACTTTAAAGCAGAGTATATTCAAGCTAATATGATAAACTATAAATCCTAAAATAATTATAAAAGACTTCATGGTTTTTCTATTTTTTATGTTATTAAACGTTTGAACTGTTGACCATTTACTTAAATATTCATTAATTTTTTTTACAAAATTTTATCTAACTCTAAACAACATTTCTAGCGTCGGAATCATGCTAGCGCAAGCTTTACATATCCTTAGTTTTAAATCTTTAATCTTCTTTCGTTGTAAGTAGTTGACGTAAATAATGTTGATCATTAAAAGATCAAGGTTTCTTTTAAATAACTTTTAAATGACGATTTTATTCACAAGGGAACCGTCAGAACTGCTCCTAACTGATTTTGATAGACGTTAGGTATATTATAAAGAATCGAAAAATAAAAATTCATATTTCTTTATATATGTTCTTATTAAAGCCTTATTAAGGTAGGGATTAGAAGTATATAGTTTAGGATACTTTAGGATATACTTTTACCCTGTAATATGTATGTAATAATATGCAAAGGAATAATATTGACCACCGAAATGTTTCACTTGAATGCCTTATAAGACTTTAACAGTCTTGATTGACCCGAGGGCGTTGAAGAGAAGGCGGTTCCTCTTGAATCAGGATTTCCTGACCGTGTCCCTGACAGCGGCTCACCGACGACATCATAGGGGGCTAGCTAGCAAAGGTTATAGAATTTAGCTTCGATTAGGGAACGAAAGCATTGCTCGCCCACAATCTCTGCCCGACATTTTCGGCGGAGTCTCCGACATCCAATTTCATACACCCAAATTGTCAGAGTCACTTGAATAAAAATTATTTGAATTTTTCGAAGCTACGTCCTCGGATAGCAAATTGGGCAGTAGTTCAGACTCTCGTCGTTAAAAAATATAACGAACTATCTGTAAACTGTACGTTAGAAAATATATAACAACAACTAGCTTTTATTTTTCGACTCTTTGTAACATATTTAATTCATCGAAATTGGTGAGGGACAATTTAGACGGTTCCCATGTCAGAAAAAAAAAATAACTCATATAATGTTATCATCGATATAAAACGATTAATAGGAAACAAAAATTTCATATTTTATTTAATCTTAAAATAACCTGTAACACCTTTAACTTTTCGCTTTCTATAGTATACTCAAAGAACGAGATCAATAACAATATATATTTTTTGCATATTGTTACTTATAATATATTTGAACGTTCTTCAGAAAAACTTTGGCCGTTACTGCGTTATTATACGGATAAATATTATCCTATTATTAAAATATGGAATTTATTAATACCCACCATATCTATCCGTCATCCAGATGATCTCGAGGTATGTAATTAAAAAAAAAAGAATATGAGACGACTTAAGAGAAAAATATATATATAATAAATAAAAAATACAGATATAATAAGAAATTATTTCTAAATTAAATTGCTATATCGATAATCCTGCGAATCAGAAATTTTTTGTATGTTTTGTTACTTGCACATCAAAAAAGATAATTTCTTAAAATATAATCTCTCAAAAGATGAAACAATGCTTGAAATTGTTTGTGAAATGATTCATTAGTTGGTTATGCTACGTGCGTAGTTTGAATGTTATAACTTAATGTTATTATATACGATTTCATCTCTCGTGGTTTCAGGTAATATTAAGTAGCACGAAGCATATTGATAAAGGCATGATATACGACATTTTGCATCCTTGGTTAAATACTGGGCTTCTTACCAGCGCAGGTAATGCAATAAAATTAATATTATAAACATATATATTAATACTGCGTAAAAAATATTGTATATTGTATACTGAGTGTTTATTCCATTATACATTCCCGATGTATACTGTTGCATTTCTATAAAAACGATTATACAATAATATTAGAAGATATTTTACATATAAACAGAGGCTCTGAAATACTATTTGAAAAGATAAAATAATATCAGTCATCTGTTAATTATTGCTAATTATGTTAATATATATCTGTTAATTACCATAAATTTTGACGATTAAACTGTAACTAAACTTGCAAAAATGAGGTCAATGCAAATGCAATTATTTTGCCGATGTATCTTTTTACGGTGCTTGTTTCTATTTACGTAACTATCAAATGTGGGGTGAGAAATTTTTTCTTATCAATTAACGTAACTTTAATTACAAGATAACATTGAATTTATGTCAATATTTTTTATTCAGTATAAGTGTCTTGAAAAGAAGACATTTATTAAATGAAACTCGTCGTCTTTATCGTATTTATGAAATAATTTGACGGCTATTTACCGAGGCAGATGATAAAAGAGAAATAAATTAGAAATAATAAAAATCACCTAAAAATGAATTACTTAACTGATAAACTCCAATGTACATAGAGTGTTCTCTACATGCGAGATTAATTGTTGTTATTCTTTTATTATGCAGCGTTATCGGACAACTCGTGACAATATTCTCGCCGCAAATAACTCGAAAAATAATGCAAGTCGTAATCTTATTCTGGTTATAGGTGTCAAATGGCATTCACGACGGAAGATATTAACGCCTGCGTTTCATTTCAATATACTGCGACAGTTTGTTGATATTTTACTAGAGGAGGGTGAACGTATGACAAAGATTTTAAAGAATGCTGGTGGACCTGTTGAAAAAAATATTATACACTTTATTTCTGAACATACGCTGAACGCAATATGCGGTAAAAATCATTATATATTTTCATCATATAATTGCATAAAGATCTTACTAGGGACAACTGAGAACGGAAAAACTTACTTATGCAACACAACGATATAATAAACTAATGATATTTATTTATAATTTTGTTGTGCTCTCATAATTTAATCATTGCTGTATGTATTTATAGAAACTGCTATGGGCACTTCTTTGCATAGTCTTGGTGAGCTCCAAGAAAAATATCGACAAGATATTCATCAAATGAGTTTCATTGTTATTCATAGGTAATTGATAAATGCAGCAAATGATGTATGAATCTATATAATTGCACGACAAACGTAGTAATTATTAATGTATCACATGAAGAGAAGTAATTATAATTAAATGACACGCATTGTGTGTGTACATATAACCAGACCTACTAAGTCTTTCGATTTTAAAGATAGATTATTTAAATCTCTTAATATGCTGAATGTTGAAAAATATTAGAAAAAGATTGAGTATGTTATCAAATAAAAGTTAGCATTGTTTTTGTGTTAGCTGGACAATATGTAATAAAGAAAGGGAAGTAAAAAATAGGAAAAGAGAAATACGATAAATGGAAGAAGCCTTTGGCGTATACCCAATTTTTAATTTCGTTTCTTTGATGTAATTATTTATAGACTAATACATTATTTTTTCAGATTTTTTCTTAATATTATACATTATATATTATACTTAATATTATACTTAATATTATACATACACAATTATGCTGTTTAGATTATTTAGGCCTTGGTTGTATTGGGACTTGACATTCGGCTTGTCACCTACAGGCAGATTACAAAAGAAGATAATACAGGATCTGCATGGATTTACTGACAAAGTGCGTAAGAATAAAGTTGTTTAACATTCATTAATATTACCAATGTGCAATAATTAAACATAGATGCTGTATATAAATTCAGATCAGAAATATTAAAATAGCGAGATATCAGCGAAATATCGAAAAAAGCATAAGTAGAATTAATATTTCTTGTTTTCTATATTTGCATAGATCGTTACAGAAAGAAAAATTTACCATGAACGTACGAAAGGCCAATACTTGCAGAATTTCACAAATGCCAGTTCCGGAGGAATGGATGATGAAGAAATATATGGAAGTACGTAATCCAAGCTTTTTGACTTTGTTTTAATACCGCACAGTCATAGTCGCGGTATATCAATTAAATATTTAAAAATGATACTAATTTTGCTAATTTTTAATTGGATTTTAATTTTCAACAAAATTGATGTTGTTCAATTACAATACATAAAAATATTAAAATACATATAAAAATGCATTATTAAGATAGGCATTGCTTACAGTTTATTGATTACAGCTTTCCCGTTTGTTTCAGGTCGAAAAAAGCGACTCGCTATGTTAGATTTGCTAATAGCAGCTTCGCAGGAAAATCATTTGAGTGATTCGGATATCAGAGAAGAAGTGGATACGTTCATGTTCGAAGTATACACTCATTTAATTTTTTTCTAACCTAATATATTATACGACGATACTCAACATACAAACTGATTGCAGGGTCACGATACTACAGCGATGACTATATGCTTTACTCTGTTATTGTTAGCTGAACACAAAGATATACAGGTACTTGTTGACAGAAAAACAAATGATATAACTCAAAGGGATGACTAATTAATGCTGTTCAATCATTAAATCATTATTCGATTAAACATTTAAAAAGGTAGAAATATTAGATGTATTTGCTGCAGCGTATTACTTCGGGAATTAATTGAAAATGATAAATTGAACAAAATCAATCAGAAATATCTCTCTTCAAAATAAATATAGATATACGCGTAAAAATTTGCTAAATCTATTTCTTTGCATGTACATAAAAATATTACGTAGTAATAAGACATACAGTTTTAATTAATGTCGATGATATAGGATCGCGTGAGGGAGGAAGTTAATACTGTGATAGAAGAATGTGGGGGAAAATGGACTATGGCCTCATTGCAGAATCTAACATATTTAGAAAGATGTTTAAAGGAATCGATGCGACTGTACCCCGCCGTGCATTTCATATCGCGAGTTGCTGGAGAGGATGCACAATTACGTGCGTAACAGTGATAGATATTTACAAATACATATATATATATATATATGTATATACACACACACACACATATATATATATATATATATATGTCCATAGAAGCTTTATTAAATAATTACAACAAAAAAATGGAATGTGCCACTAATGGAAGAAATTTGCTTTTGTTCTTAATAATTTCATTATTATTATAATTCTAATAATTCAATATATATACATACTTAAAATCAAACGTTCCAAAATTAACTATATAATTAAATCAGAATGACGTCCATAAGTAATATGATATATTTTTCACATTATACGAGGGTAGTCCCAGAAGTACCTGACCTAACAAAGAAAACACAAAAAATTTGGGAAAAATATCTTTATTTCTCTACATAGTCTCCTTTCAGCTCAATACACTTTTGCCAGCGATGTTCAATAGCTTCGATACCCTGTTTATAGTGGGAATCGTCGAGCTCCTCAAAATAGCCATTAAGCCACCTTGATCCATTGTTTTGACTGTTCCTTCGTCTCAAGTGTGAAGTGATAGACCCATGTTTCATCCATGGTTATGAATCGACGCAAAAACTCAGCTTTATTGCTGCGAAACTTCGCCAAACACTCGATTGAAACATCCTCACGACGCTGTTTTGTTCCAATCGCGGCACCCATCTTGCGCACAGCTTTCTCATGTCCAAATTTTCAGTCAATATAAGAGGTGCATTTTTTGAAATGCCTACCATGTCTGCTAACTCGCGCACTTTCAGTCGACGGTCATCCAATACCATTTTGTGGATTTTCTTCACCATTTCTGGCGTGGTCACCTCATTTGGTCGACCACTGCGATGTTCATTTTGGCAGCTCGTACAGCCTCGTTTAAACTCTGTCACCCAATATTTTACTGTTGTAAACGAAGGAGCAGACTCCCCCAGAGTAGAATCTAGCTCCGCTTTGATATTGGTTGGACTGAGGCCTTTCAAATGAAAGTATTGTATCACATAACGATGACCAATTTTTTCCATGTTTACAAATTCACTGAGAGCGTTCACTATTGATAGCTGCCAAACAAATACTAAACAACGTAGCGCCGTCAAACTTCAAACTTAAGCTTTATAAGGTTGGTACTTTCTACCATAGTCATTCTTTTCAAACAACAACCGCTATCTATACGTCAGGTCAGGTACTTCTGGGACCACCCTCGTACGTAGATATTATTATAATCTCTAATTTATAAATTATATTTAATTATGTAATACACTTTACAGGATCACACTTAATACCCAGCGGAACAATAATACATCTCAATATTTACAGCGTCCACAGAGACGCTAATTTCTGGCCGAATCCCGAGGAATTCGACCCAGACAGGTTTTTGCCTGACAAAATACAAAATCGACATCCTTATTCGTATTTACCGTTCAGCGCAGGACCACGGAATTGTATAGGTAAAGTTGCGTGATTCTTATTCCTTTATATGTGGATAATTTCTCATGCACAAATTGATTGGTAGGTCAACGATTCGCTATGTGGGAAATGAAGGCCATGATAGCACCCATTATACGCAATTTTTACTTAGAATCCATAGATTATCTGAAAGACATGCAGATATGCGCTGGTTTGATACTTCGGCCTAAGCATCCGATGCGTTTAAGATTTGTTCCAATAGAAGTTGCTTGAAACGAGCATGCATAAATATTAATAAATACAGAAATAGATAAGAATGTACGGTAGGTTATTAAACTTTAAAAGTAAATTCCTTGGTAAATTTAGAATTAACTTTATTTCAGTAAATGTAGATGTTAAGATAGATCTATCGACTAGATAATTTTTGATACTCTGATATTAAATGTATTTGTAAATAAAACCTAAATAAAGAACAAGATATAATATAATCAATACTATTATCCATGGTAAATAAGCAATATTACTTATGTGTTACGTGTATCTCCGATATCAGTCAATCTTTTCCTGATAACTTTTATTAATAGTGAACATTTATCTAAATAAATTTGTTAAAAGGATATCTATATTTGATAGCGTAAGCTTTTAATAGAGAGTCAATGATCGAAGACAACACAATAATATAATATCAATAAGAGCAGGCAACAAAACGTCTCAAGTGGAATCAAAAAAGGAGATAGCCTCGATCATATACAACTTAATCATGAATGAAATAATTTAAGCAGTCAAAATTGTGGAAAATTACGGATGGCAATGTGTTTGGTATGAAATAAATAGCAAACTTGTTCTCATGCAAATTAATTTATTAAGTCTGAATGGTGTTTACCGAACTTCGACAATAGGTAATATTCTTGCTCGGGTCAATACCTCAGCTGAAATATCGATGCTAATTACTTAATCTATTTGATAGTTTAAGAGTGTAAGAGACAGTGTAAGAGTATCTTGTATCATAGTATTAGGTGTGCAACTTTGCTTCCGCCGTTTTCCTATAGATGGCTTTAGCGGTAAGTAGTGGTCGAAATAAGTAGATCATAGACGTCATGCAATAAACTTGAGCATCTGTCAACATAACCCCATAGAAACATTAGTCGATTTGTGTCTGCATCATAAAGTTATTCTCGATTGAGAATGTCAGTTTCACCAGCCAAATTCTCGTCATTTGCAGGAGGTTTTAATTTTCTGCTTCAATATGAAGAAATCTGCGGCTGAGGCTCATCGAATGCTTTCAAATACGTATGGTGAGGCCATTATTAGTGAAAGAACGTGTTGTGAGTGGTTTCAACGCTTCAAGAACGGTGATTTTCACGTCGAAGACCGGCATAGCGATGGAAGAGAGAAGGTTTTCGAAGATGCAGAATTGGAGATATTACTTAATGAAGACTCGTGTCAAAGTCAAGAAGAATTGGCACGATCATTGGGAGTGACTCAACAAGCAATTTCAAAACGCCTCAAATACATGGGAATGATTCAGAAGCAAGGAAATTGGGTGCCGTACGAGTTGAAACCGAGAGATGTTGAACGGCGTTTGTTTGCTTGTGAACAGTTGCTTGAAAGGCAAAGACGGAAGGGATTTCTGCATCGCATTGCGACTGGGGACGAAAAATGGGCTCATTACGATAACCCCAAGCGCAGAAAATCATGGGCATATCCCGGCTATACTTCCACGAACATTCACGGCTCCAAGGTCATGCTCTGTATTTGGTGGGACCAGCTCGGCGTAGTGTATTATGAGCTGTTAAAACCGACTGAAACAATCACAGGCGATCGTTATCGAATGCAATTAATGCGTTTGAGCCGAGCATTGAAAGACAAACGGCCGCGACACAACGAGAGACACGATAAAGTGATTTTGCAGCATGACAATGCTCGACCCCATGTCGCGAAAGTGGTCAAGACATACTTGGAAACGTTGAAATGGGAAGTCCTACCCCACTCGCCGTATTCTCCAGACGTTGCTACCTCTGACTATCACTTGTTTCGATCAATGGCACACGGCCTGGTTGATCAGCATTTCCGGTTTTACGAAGAAGTAAGAAATTGGATCGATTCGTGGATCGCTTCAAAAGATGACCAGTTTTTTCAACGCGGGATTCGTATGCTGCCCGAAAGATGGGAGAAAGTAGTGGCCAGCAATGGACAATACTTTGAATCATAAATGTATAACCAGTTTTTTACAATAAAGTCTCGAATTTCGAAAAAAAAACGGCGGAAGCAAAGTTGTACACCTAATATTATTAATGCATTTTATTAATATCTATATTTGATACCGTTTGTTAATATAATTTGCGGACTCCTTGCTATCATTATATTAATTTGAATAACTTCTCGAAGTACAATTATTGTGACACTGCTTTCGATATTATGTCACTATATCTCAGATAATAACCAACAATCTTTTTTTGTCACACGGCATCGGTTAAACATAGAATAAAATTTTGCGAAATTTTAGTGATGTTCATAGTTTTATTATTATTCAATAATCAATCTTTGTTATACAGAAAATACGATTATCATGTTGTATTGCAAGGAAATGTTTACATAAATCTTATGCGTTTCTATAAAATGTTTTGCTAAAATCTCATATATTTTACCAAACGTTTTACATTTGTAGAATTAATAAATAGTCTGCATGGAGAGTTTAAAGAAAAAAGTTCCAGTCTTATAAGGTAAATAATATTCACAATATATGAGTAAAATATACTTGGTAAAAACATAGGTCGAAAAAATCAACTCTCGCAGAGTTATAAACATTTTTCAATTTTAGACAAATCGAATTTATACAATCAAAGTACACAAATAACGCAAGTCATTGTAGATTAAAAGTATTATGTATAATACTAACATCTTCAATATTGGACTTGCATAATAATTAACATTTTATCATATTAAATTGCTGACTTTGATAAGATACCGATAAAAAACATTACATATTTCAAGTGTGCATAGACGTAAGAGTCTTACTTACATATATGCGCGCATGCATGCATGTATATATTTGTTATAGCAGTAGCTATTATATAACAAGCTATTTGCTACTTTTTGTACGACTACTTTAATCAAGAAATAGTGCGTAATGTTTTGCTTCATTAAAAGTATAAATATTTATCTCATTTTTTTATACTTTGTTTCTTCTTTTATGTATTTTGGATATTTATCGTCTAGTATCGAGTATCTGACTGAATGTTTGTAATTAATAATGATACTTTCAAAATTTTATTCTGCATTATAAATTCTAATATTGATTTCCGTAGTGATTACAATGTCAATGTGTAATTTACACATGTGTTTGAATAATCTTGAAATAATATATAAAGTCCTGCTTCACACTTGCGGGCAAAATTTGTATGTAGAAGTTCAAGTAATGCACACCAGTTTGTAACAAAGTCCGAAGAGGTCAAATACGATACGTCGAAGTCTCGAATGTCTGCTGAAGTTTCGAACGCTGTGAGTTTCTTATGCACTTCTTTGTATTGCATTTTTTTCTATTTCTGAAATTATAATTTTTTCATTTAAAATTACTTGCTTTCATTTAAATACCACAATTGATATAATCAATTATATCTGTCGACACAAAGGTCATTAATTTTAATAGTGTTTACGTAATATCAGAAAAACATATATTTGTTAATAAATCTTATCTAAAATGATATAACGATATTATCTACAATTATATTTGCTTTATTTATTATAAATTCCTGAATATTTTTACACATGTGTGTGTATGTAAATTATATACGTAGATATATATATATATGTACATATATTATATACATTTTTGTATATAATATCATTATAGAAATGTTTTTCATAAAACGATACTTTATTTTTTGTGTTGCAGTATAGCGTTTAAGAATTAAAAAAAGACACAATCCTAAATTATCCATTTCAACCATTTCAACTAATAATGGTCATCATTATATTATTAACATGCCTCTTTCTCATGATCATGTATCATTGTGTCGTTTATTATGGAAGAAGTGGACGACTTATTAATCAAATACCAGGATGCATACATTTACCTATTCCAGGTAAAGGTCTACGAATTTGTTGGTATTCGCCAGGTAAGTAAAAATTTGTATAAAGTGTCATATAAGAAGCTACTGATCTGTTTGTCGCTAATACACAATAACATTAGTATCTGTAGTTAAAATTACGTAACAGCTTGTTAGCAAGATGCAAGTTGTTAATTTTGATTAAATTATATAGTAGATTGCTGAAAAAACAACATTATAAAAAATGTACAAAATCTAATTTTAATATTCTTTACATTTTAGAACAAATATGGCTCTTCATACTCGATTATGTAAAGAGATTTTATCCGATTAGTAAATTTTGGGTTCTCACGATTCCTAACGTTAACATTTATCACCCGGACGACGTGCAGGTTGGCAAAAGAATCGTTACGGAAATTAAATACATTTTATTATATGTACAGAATTTTCAATAACGCTGAACGAAACTAATGTTTGCAACTTCTATTTAAAATCGCATACATATTTCCCGTGTTACATTCTATCTATGTTAATAAATACTGTATAATTGGATAATAACAACACGATTTTTAATCTTATGTCGTTTATGGCTTTAGAAAGTACTAAGCAGTACGGAGCATACTGTAAAAGGTTACGAGTACAAACTTATACATCCTTGGCTAGGCGATGGCCTCCTTACTAGTCAAGGTATTTTGGTCATGCGTAATTTTCAACTAAAACAATATTATTATCTTCGATAGTTTTTTAGCAAAATAATTACAACAGATAATAGAGTTCTGAGAAATAAATATTGTATGATGAACGTTAACGATTATGAAAGTGGAGATGCTTAATCTTAATTTAGCGCGATATAAATAGAATGATTGTCATCTTTCGTTACATATGCCACATGATAACATAATAAACTATAATAATATTCATGCACTCATATAATATTATCTTCTCTCTTTCACAGGAGCCAAATGGCATAAAAGACGAAAGATACTAACGCCTGCATTTCACTTTTCTATATTGAAAGAATTTGTCAAAACTTTCATTGAAGAGGGCAATCGCGCAGTGAAATCTTTTAATCCTGCGGAAGAGTCAATTATTGAAGACGTGATGTTATTTACCAGTCATCATATGTTAAACGCAATATGTGGTATATATATGTGTATATTTTATCTTTTTTGAAGAAAATTCGTGTCTTTTTCATATGGACTTTTTATTATTTTTATCGATTTTTGAAATTGGCATGTTTTAATGTGTGACGAATTGCTTCCAGTCCTAAAGGACCCCGTACATTTTTCATGAAAAAATGATCTCGGTTAAATTGCTCCGTTCTGAAATATGTTGCACTTTCCATAATTTTAAACAAATTTACATTACAATTACGCATTATCACAACTCCATTATCACAACTACGTAAAATCAAGAATAAAAAAATGTGGAATTCTAATGACATAGAATCTGAGTGTCTACTGTATTTATTTCAAATAACTTGATATCTTCTTCTGTATGTAATGGATACATATGCGCATATAGTCGTAAATGTTGAATACTTGCGCGCGCGGGCAATGACCGAAGGTAATTTTACGTAGTAAACACATACGAGGCTCTTTATTGCACTTTATATCTTTCTATATTCTACTAGTTTCAAATGAAACACGGTGAATACCATCTATATAATAGTATCAAATTATTGTGGTAAAACTAATATGTCCAATAGCTTTTCCATATGACTTCGGCAAGTATATTTCCAGAAACCTCCATGGGTATTTCTTTGAATGACTCTGATCAGTCTCAACAGTATCGGCAGACTATTCACCATATGGGTAAACTTGTAGTCAATAGGTAACGTATAAATGTCTATGTTAAAAGAAATGAACCTAAATTATTTAGAAGTGATACAGTTTCTTTCTCTTAAACATATTTAATTTTATGTAATTACTCTTAGGTTTTTCAAGCCATGGCTATTCATTGACACGATATTCAATTTAACATCTCAGAGCACCACACAATCTAAATATTTGAATATCTTGCATTCATTTACTGAAAAAGTGAGTATGCTTATGTAAACGTTATTATATTATTTGGACGTTTAAGAAAACATACTTCTTGCAAATATATAAATAAAAATTATCAATTTGTTAATAGATCAAATAAGAAATACTTTTAGAAGCGTTGAAATAAATAACATTGGTATTATATTTTTCTTTGTTTTTGTAGATTATTGCAAATAGAAAACGTTATCATGAAGAAACCGGAGGACGATATTTGGAGTACTTTGAAAACAACACAGAAATAGAAGACAAAGAAATAACAGGGAGTATGTTTCATCTATAGGATATTGTACGTCATGAGATGCACAGATAACGTATTTTATGTTTATTTAAGATAAAAAAAAACGAATGGCCATGTTGGACATTTTGCTAGCGGAATCTCGCGATGGTAATTTGAGTGATTCAGATATCAGAGAAGAAATTGACACTTTCGTGTTCGAGGTAAACGTTAATGTTTTGTTAAATTGTTCAAGAATATAGCTGCATTTCTGTTTAATATATGTTGCAAGCTAATAATTTTAATAGTAATTATGATATGGTACAACGAGATGCATATTAAACGGCGATTATTGGAAACTGTAAGTGCGAAACATTTTTTCGAGCTGCTCTTTATCTACGTGCTTTCTGCAGCGTATAATTATTATTGTTCACGTACACAATAATTAACTGTACGGAAAGAAATTCTTATCATTACAGGGTCATGACACTGTGGCGACAAGTTTATGTTTTAGTCTACTATTATTAGCTGAGCATAAGGATATTCAGGTATTTTTCCCGTCTTGAAATAATCTCGCAACAAACTTTTTGCAATAACGTCAACCAATGATAAATTGCCAGTATATATATACGATTATTTAAACTTGTCTTATATATTTATTTTATATATTTTATAAATATCTATAAATCACTTCCTATCAAATAATTGAAGGGAATTTTAAGCTTGTAAAAGACCGTCTCGGTAAATTTCTCAGTATTTCTCTCTTTCTTTCTCTCTCTCTCTCTCTCTCTCTCTCTCTCTCTCTCTCTCTCTCTCTCTCTCTCTCTCGATCTTTTTAATTACGAAGACTGTTTTAGAAATTACAAATATTCTAGAAACATATAAACAATTCCGATTTAACAATCAATATAGACGCAACAGATGTGTATTGTATAAATTTTTGTTTGCAGGATCGTGTAAGAAAAGAAATTAATGAGGTGATGCAGGAAAATAATGGGAAGCTTACGATGAACGCGTTACAGAATCTACCATATTTGGAGAGATGCTTAAAAGAATCATTAAGATTATATCCCAGCGTTACTTTTATATCGCGCCTTTGCACTACTGATTTAAAATTACGTAAGTAATTAATGGGTCTATATGCTATGAAATTTATATACGGATATATTTGTGATTTAAATTTTTCCTCGTTGTTCGTACAGAAAGAACTTTAGTATGTTCACTGATATTTTCAGAATCATATACAATACCAAAAGACACAACAATGCATCTTTTTATCTATGCTCTTCATCACGATCCTAACTTTTGGCCGGATCCAGAAGTATTTGATCCAGACAGATTTTTACCAGAGAATATACAGAAACGTCATCCTTATTCCTATGTACCGTTCAGCGCAGGGTTACGAAATTGCATAGGTAATTCATAAGATACTATATTCCTACATCGCAAATAAATTCTAATGATATTAAAATCTTTAGGTCAACGATTTGCCATGTTGGAGTTGAAGGCTATGATAGCCAGCCTGGTGTACAATTTTTACTTGGAACCCGTTGATTATTTGAAGGATGTTTCATTCAAGTTGGATATTGTATTACGCACCTCACGTCCGATCCGCATGAAAGTTATTCCAATTAAACGGGAGTAGTCTAACGCGAGTACTCTCGAAAGGAAGAACGTTTCGTGTTAAAAAAATTATGTTACTAAGACAAGGTTGCTTAGATTTTGTGGTGTTCAATGGTTCATTTTGGTATTCATCGAATGTTATTATATGGGAATGTTATTATATAGGAATATTTTCTTTTATAAGTGGTAACAAAATTTGAATAAAAAAGGATATTTTTTTTCTAAGAGCGGAAACATAAGTGCACATTGTACGGCTTTCTTCAATATCATTAGCCACATGTTAAGATACTGTTAAAACAATTAATTTCTCAGGTCTATTGTTAATGTTGGAGAGAAAAGGAACTGTTTCCGACAAGGTACGAGGAATATATGTATAGTTTAATCCATATTACGGTTAATGCTCATAACGTGCATACGTAGAATATAAACAATGGAAGAATATTTGATCGAACCGTGAGTGGAGCGTGGGCGAACCAATAGCGTAATATGAGCCTAATAAGCGTGCGATCGAGGGGACAAAGATACGAGAAAGTTTCAACTAGTAATCTTTTTATTAGCTGCACAGATTGAAAAATCTTTTTGCACAATGAAAGTATTTATAATAACGAAGGTCGAAAGCAACAATTTCATATAAAATTCAAAGAAAACTTAACAATTACAGTTTCATTGTCATAACAGTACTCTATGCATGAAACAACCAAGGATAGTACAATTGTGTCTGGCTGCAGCTCCATCGATCACGACTATGCTGAACTAATCAACTGTTTTGTTTTACCCCGAAGTATAGCAAACACAATTCCGCATGCAATACATCTACTTTCAACTAAAAATCTTTTTACACTGACTTCTAAGCTCATTTTTTTACTTTAATATTATTCTTCTCTATTATGGCAGGCCGAAAGCTTTTGCATGAATAAACTGCAGAAGTTTTATAATTAATAAGTAATATTACGAACATGACGCAGAACACGATAACGAAATTGTAATTTTTTTAATATTTCATTGAATTTTACGTAAAACTTTGTCTTTCGGACTTTGTTATTATAAGTATTTTCATTGTGCAAAAGGATTTTTCAATCTGTGAAGTTAATAAAAGGATCAGTCGCGGAAAGATTGAAATCAAACAGATGTCGGTAAAACAGATCTAGGATCTCCTTAAAGAAGAGAGTTCCAGGGTTATAAGGTAAATAGTATTTACAATATTCTGAGTAAAATACATTTAAAAAAAACGGATCGAAAAATCAATTCTCTCAGAGTTTAAACATTTTTCAATTTTAGACAAATTGAATTTATACAAACGAAGTACACAAATAACGCAAGACATTGTAGGTTAAAAATATCGAGTACAGTACTAAGTATTAACCTCTTCAAGATTGGACTTGGATAATAAATAAAAATCTTATCATATTAAATTGCTGACCTTGACTGATGAAACATTCACAGAAAAATGGCATATCATTTAGATTGTGCACGCTTCTTATCTATATGCGCGCATGAGTGCATGTGTATATTTATCATAGTAGTAGCTGTTTGCTACTCTTTGTACGACTACTTTGATCAGGAAACAGTGCGTAATATTTTGCTTCATTAAAACTACGAAAATATTTATTTCATATTTTTTCATACTTTGCTTTTTTCTTTTCTGTATCTTGGATATTTATCACCTAATGACGAGTATCTGACTGATTGTTTGTAATTAATAATGATATTTTCAAAATTTTATTGTACATTATAAACTCTAATATTGATTTCAGTAGTGACTACAACGTTGGTGTATAATTTATATGTGTGACTGAGTAAACATGAAATAATATAAAGTCCTACTTCACACTTACGCGGATAGTTTGTGTGCAGAACTCAACGTTCAGTTAATGTACATCAGTTTGTAACAAGGTCTTCAGACACAATTCGACGACGTATTGAACGCCTGCTGAAGTTTCGAACGCTGTGAGTTTCATGTGTTTCCTTGTATTGTATTTTTCTGAATTGTGAAGTTATATATCTCTTCGTTTGAAATGACTTTTATTTAAATACCATATATTGTTCAATCAATTATATTTGTCAACGTAAATGTCATATTTCAATAGGGTTTGAATAATATAAAAAAAACGTATTTTTTACTAAATATTTTTTAACACTTTGGCGCTGTCACGTATGCGTGACTTTTGCTCGGCGACGGTTATCGGCCGCTGTCATGTATGCGTGACTTCGGTTCAGCGCGGTAACAATGTTTCCACTATTCTTCTGTTTTAATTATTCCGATTGTCTTTTCTTGACATTCTTTAATATCACCGTCGGCGAGCAGTAGAACCCGCGCGAAATTCGCCGGCGGCAGCGTAAAGGCGATGCGAGAAGTAAGCGGCCGGCAAAGTGTTCAGAAGATATAAATTATATAAGGATATTATCTACAGTTATAATTGCTTTATTCATAAATTATTGAATATTTGCAATTTTACATACGTGTGTGTGTAAATTACATACATAAATACATAAATACATAAAGAAATAAATAAATAAACAAATAAATAAGTAAATATACATATTATATATATATATATTATATATATATTTACATATCATCACGGACATATTTTTCATAAAACGTTTGCTTTTTGTGTTGCAGTATAGCGTTTAAGAATTAGAAAAAAGACAAAGCAGCTATCATTTTGACGAATAATGATCATCACAATATTATTAACATGCCTTTTTCTCGTGATCATGTATTTTTGTGTCGCGCACTTTGGAAGAAATGGACGACTTATTAATCAAATACCAGGATCTATATGTCTGCCTACTCTAAATAATCTACTAATTTGTTGGTATTCGCCAGGTAAATAAAAATTTATATGAAATTTTACATAATAAGCTATTGATTTATTTGTCTCTAACACATAATTAAAAATGAAATCAATATTAGTAGTTAAAATTGCGTAATAGCTTATTAGCAAAATGCAAGTTGTTAATTCTGATTAAATTGTATAGTTGTCGAAAAGAACAATACTATAAGAAAAGATGAAAAATCTAATTTTAATATTCTTTATATTTTAGAAAAATTATGGCTCTTTATACTCGATTATCTGAAGAGCTTTTATCCAATTACTAAATATTGGGTTTTCACAATTCCTAACGTAGTCATTTATCACCCGGACGACATACAGGTTGATAAAAGAATTCTATTATTATTATTTTATTATTGTGTCATTCATTTTTATTTTTAAATTTTTATTATTTATTTTTATTATTTTATTCTATTATTATGGGTAAATATGTACTTCGCCAATGACTTTGACCTTGACATATGTTATCAAGAACATCCTCTTGAATAACATTCAAGATGTTTTAGCCGTTGTTCGACATTTGTTAAAAAGTTATTAATAAAAGAAATTTCTTTAATCGATCGTAATTTTTCGACACAATATATATTTAAACCTAAAACTTGCAGGAGGTTACTCCGAAATACAGTACATATAAGCAGGGGGGGGCTTCGCTTATATGTACTATTTACCATTTTTAATATACATTCGAGATTTAACGTATGTTCGAGATATATTGTACCGAATATATACAAGAAGTTGCATTTCATTTTTTCTCTTTTGACCACGAATAATTTTATAATAGTTGTTTATACAACGAAATATAACGTAGTTGTTTCATGTCGCACAAGAGTTTCTGTTTTATACCGAGGACATATTATTTTTTGACGATTCACGTAATGATTATATAAATATTCTAATAGTTGATCTTAATTGTACGTTAAATGCAGAAACTCGTGAAGTAACATCTTAACCACTTCAATGTTCGAGACGTACTGAATATATAAGTAACGTTTGCTTTATAAACAGTACGTTTCTCTAAGAATGCGAAGCCTCTTCTGTGCTCACATATGTGTAATGTTTGCCATACCTACATGTACACGTTTTCGACACAATGTGCCGAAAAATTACGTTCTGTTAATGAAACTTCTTTTGTTAATAATATTTTTACAAATGACGAGCGATGGCTAAAACCTTTTGAATGTTACCCAAGAGCGTGTCCTTGATAATACATGGTGGGGGGTTATAAATTTACAACCCGAAGTGTGAAGGTAGATTGGGCCGCGTTGCAGCCTAAGCAGCAGCAACGTTTCTCCAATCATCTATGCCAGCGCGCTCCCACTCCTCAAATTTCTGTTATTAATAACTCGATAATAATTGTGAATCTCGCAAAACGGTATGGGACTTTTATGTTTGTTTTAACCCAATCTATCTTCACACTTCGGGTTGTAAATATATGGTATAACCCCCCACCCTGTATACGTCAAGGTCAAGATCATTGACGAAGGATTCGTTAAAGTAAATATTTATCTTATTAATTATAAAGCATTTTCGCATTAACGTTAATCGAAACCAATGTTTGCTAATTTCTACTTAAACCAATTTAACTACTTAATGAAACCAACTTCTACTTAAAATCACACACATATCTCGCATGTCACATTTTGTCTTGATTAATTGTATAATTTGTTAATTGTATAATAATAACATGATTTTTAATCCTGTGTCGTTTATGGCTTTAGAAAGTACTAAGCAGTATGGAGCATACTGTGAAAGGTTATCAGTACAAACTTATACATCCTTGGTTAGGCGATGGCCTTCTTACTAGTCAAGGTATCTTTGTCATGCGTAATTTTCATGCAGAACAGTATCATTGCCTTTGATAGTTTTTGAAGAAAACAATTACGGCATAATAGAGTCCTAAGAAACTAAATATGATACGTTAAGCGCTAGCGATTATCAAAGTGAGTACGCTTAATCTTAATTTAGCGCGACATAAGTTGAATAAATGTCATCTTTCGTTACATGTGCTACATGATAACACATTAAAAAATAATACTTATGCACGTATATAATATTATCTTATCTCTTTCTTAGGAGTCAAGTGGCATCAAAGACGAAAGATACTAACGCCTGCGTTTCACTTCTCTATACTGAAGAAATTTGTCAAAACTTTGATTGAAGAGGGTAATCGCGCAGTGAAATCTTTTAATCCTGCAGAAGAGTCAATTATCGCAGACGTGATGTTATTTACCAGTCATCATACATTAAATGCAATATGTGGTATATATATGTATATTTTGCCTTTTTTACGAAAATTTGCGTCTTTTTTGCGTGGACTTTTTATTATTTTTATCAATTTTTGAAATTGGTATGTTTTAATGTGTGACGAATTGCTTCCAGTCCTAAAGGACTCCATATATCTTTTATGAAAAAATGATCTCGGTTAAATTGCTCCGTTCTGAAATATGTTGTACTTTCCATAATTTTGAACAAATTTATATTACAACATCGTATTATCATAACTACGTAAAATCAAGAATAAAAAAATGTGGAATTCTAATGACATAGAATCTGAGTGTCTACTGTATTTATTTCAAATAACTTGATATCTTCTTCTGTGTGTAATGGATACATACGCGCATATAGTCGTAAATGTTGAATACTTGCGCGCGCGGGCAATGACCGAAGGTAATTTTACGTAGCAAACACATACGGGGCTCTTTATTGCACTTTATATCTTTCTATATTCTACTAGTTTCAAATGAAAAACGGTGAATATCATCCGTGTAACAGTATCAAATTATTGTAGTGAAACAAGTATAACCAATAATTTTTTCATATGATTTCGGCAAGTATATTTCCAGAAACGTCTATGGGTATTTCTTTGAATGACTCTGATCAGTCTCAACAGTATCGGCAGACCATTCACCATATGGGTAAACTTATAATCAATAGGTAACATATAAATGTCTATGTTAAAAGAAATGAACCTAAATTATTTAGAAGTGATACAGTTTCTTTCTCTTAAACATATTTAATTTTATGTAATTACTCTTAGGTTTTTCAAGCCATGGCTATTCATTGACACGATATTCAATTTAACATCTCAGAGCACCACACAATCTAAATATTTGAATATCTTGCATTCATTTACTGAAAAAGTGAGTATGCTTATGTAGACGTTATTATATTATTTGGACGTTTAAGAAAACATTCTTCTTGCAAATATACAGGGTGTGTCAATTAAAGTGTTACAGACTTATATCTTGGAAATGAATAATTTTAGAGAAAAATGTTTCAGACAAAAGTTGTATGGTGTCAAATGGGACATAAGAAGGTATCATTGATTAGATCTTGATTAGCCATTTGAAGGTTACGTGAAGGTCACCAACAGTTTTTCAAATGGAACGCCTACTTTTTTTGGCATATTCTTATAACGTATTTCAAGACCTTTCCAAAACACTACAACAAAGTATTTTTTTGTTAAGTACATCCCGAGTTATGAAGCTTCAAAGTTGCAATACTGCCGGCATTTGCATTATCCAAGGTGTACCACGTGGAGGTTGCACGGTTGGATTTACACCTCTTTGTATGTGTGTGTGTGTGTACGTGTTGCACGCACGCATGCACGCACGCACGCACGCACGCACGCACGCACGCACGCACGCACACACACACACAAATACACGCACACACACACACACACACACACACACGCACGCACACAAGAGGTGTAAATCCGATCGTGCAACCTCCACGCGGTATACTTTGGGTAATGCTAATGCCGACGATACTGTAAATTTGAAGCTTCATAACTCGGGATGTACTTAACAAAAAAATACTTTGTTGTAGTGTTTTGGAAAGCTCCTGAAATGCGTTATAAGAATATGCCAAAAAAAGTAGGCGTTCCATTTGAAAAATTGTTGGTGACCTTCACGTAACCTTCAAATGGCTAATCAAGGTCTAATCAGTGATACCTTCTTATGTCCCATTTGACACCATACAACTTTTGTCTGAAACATTTTTCTCTAAAATTATTCATTTCCAAGATATAAGTCTGTAACACTTTAATTGACTCACCCTGTATAAATAAAAATTATCAGTTTGTTAAAAGATGAATTAAGAAATATTTTAAGAAGCGTTGAAATAAATAACATTGGAGTTATATTTTTCTTTGTCTTTGTAGATCTTTGTAGTTTATTGTTCTTTGTTGTTGTTGACTTTGTAGATTATTGCGAATAGAAAACGTTATCATGAAGAAACCGGAGGACGATATTTGAAGTACTTTGAAAACAATACAGAAACAGAAAATGAAGAAGTGATAGGGAGTATGTTTCGTATATAAAATAACTGTATATCATGAAATTCACTTGCACAGATAACGTATTTTATGTTTATTTAAGTCAAAGAGAAACGAATGGCCATGTTGGACATTTTGCTAGCAGAGTCTCGCAATGGTAATCTGAGTGATTTAGATATCAGAGAAGAAATCGACACTTTCGTGTTCGAGGTAAATGCTTGTGTTTTATGAAATTGTTTAAAAATATAGCTGTATTTCCGTTTTCATATATGTTGCAAGCTAATTATTTTAATAATAATTATGACATGGCATTACTAGTTGTATATTAAATGGCAATTATTGAAAACTATATGTGTGAAACATTTTCTCGGGCTGCTCTTTATTTGTGTGCTCTCTGCAGCGTATAATTATTATTGGTCATATGATCATTGATACAATGATAAATTGTACAAAGAAATTTTTATCATTACAGGGTTATGACACCGTGGCAACAAGTTTATGTTTTAGTCTCCTATTATTAGCTGAGCATAAAGATATTCAGGTATTTCTTTTCTTTCTGTAATAATCTTGCAACAATCTCTTTGCCATAATGTCGACTGCTGATAAATTACTAATATATATACAATTATTTAAACTTGTTCTATGTATTTATTTCATATATTTTATAAATATCCACATATTTTGTAAATCAGTTTTTATCAAATAATTGGAGGCAACTTTACGATTGTAAAAAATTTGTGTAGGATAAATTTCTCTCCCTCTCTCTCTCTCTCTCTCTCTCTCTCTCTCTTTCTCTCTGTTTCTCTGTTTCTAATTAAATAACATTGTCTTAGAAATTATAAATATTCTTATTCTCGAAATATATGAACAATTTCGATTTAATTAACAATCAATATGGATGTGAACAATGTATATTGTATAAACTTTTGTTTGCAGGATCGTGTAAGAAATGAAATTAATGAGGTGATGCAGGAAAATAATGGGAAGCTTACGATGAACGCGTTACAGAATCTACCATATTTGGAGAGATGCTTAAAAGAATCATTAAGATTATATCCCAGCGTTATTTTTATATCGCGCCTTTGCACTACTGATTTAAAATTACGTGAGTAATTAATGGATCTATATGCCATAAAATTTATATACGGATATATTTGTAATTAAAATTTCTCCTCGCTGTTCGTAAAAAAAGAACTTTAGTATGTTCACTGTTATTTTCAGAATCATATATAATACCAAAAGACACAACGATGCATCTTTTTATCTATTGTCTTCATCACGATCCCAACTTTTGGCCGGATCCGGAGGTATTTGATCCAGACAGATTTTTACCAGAGAATATACAGAAACGTCACCCTTATTCCTATATACCGTTCAGCGCAGGGTTACGAAATTGCATAGGTAATTCATAAGATACTATATTCCTACATCGCAAATAAATTCTAATGATATTAAAATCTTTAGGTCAACGATTTGCCATGTTGGAGTTGAAGGCTATGATAGCCAGCCTGGTGTACAATTTTTACTTGGAACCCGTTGATTATTTGAAGGATGTTTCATTCAAGTTGGATATTGTATTACGCACCTCACGTCCGATCCGCATGAAAGTTATTCCAATTAAACGGGAGTAGTCTAACGCGAGTACTAATTCGGAGTAAAAAGCGTTTTGCGAATGAAACATTATGCTATTAAGATAAGGTTGATTAGATTTTGCGGTGTTCATTTGTCATTAGTTTATTTTGGTATTCATCGAATATTATTATATGGGAATATTTTATCTCATAAGTTGTAATTAAATTAGAATAAAAAAATATATAATAAAACATGTGAAGTGGTAATCAAATAAAATAAAAAAATATTTTTTTTCAAAGAGCGGAAACGTAAATGCATATTGTACGGCTTTCCTCGATAAGAAAGGTCAGTCATCATGTTTATTAACTGGAACGATTGTTGCGATTTTAATATTAAGAAATGTAATAATCGTTATTAGTTAGCAAACATATCGATTGATTTCTCATCAAGAAAAGCCTTACATCTATGTGCATCTATGTTTTCGTTATTTAAAAAGAAAATTCCGATTTATTCTTCTTAATTATTATTTTGCGCTTACCACAGCAGTGACCACGCCGTTGTAATGTCAAGGGTTCATGAATTTGGATTATTACGCGATGATATCGTTTCGAAGGATAATTGCAGGAGACAGCTCCTTTTCTGCCCGACATTAGCGATAGACCTGAGAAATTAATCGTTCTGACAGTAGCTTAATGTGTGACCGTGGTAATATATCAAACAATGCCTGAGGAACCACCGGGGTTAATATTGCTGTAGTATCATTTGTCACGTAATAATATCTAGAATCTGATAAACTCTCCAACAGCCAATTTGTACTTTATTACACGCCTCTCGTGCAGCTAGAGTGCGGCAAGGTGCGAGGAATATATTCGTAGTTTAAATAAATGTTACAATAATTTTACCGGATATCGTGCAGACATTGCATCTTTCGATGTATAGTATCTTCGACGATTAACGAAATTGTGAGTTTGACAGACAGTAGATTATCCAAATAAATAAATATTTTCAATGTGAAACATTATCCTCTTATATAACTTAAATCCATCACAAGCTATCATATTAACAAATATCTGGCGTTTGGCTCTAATTGGTCAGATGCCTGCGTTTTACCATCTGGTAAGAGAGCCACTAGATATAAGATTTGAAATATATTTGATAACTGATGTGCCTTATGAGCCGTCAAAGAGGTTTCGGGAGTTAACGCGCCGATCGATCGATCGTTGTCGCTTGCTTCTTAACATTGCTGTTACAGTATCGAATCGCGAGTTGAATTGCACACATCGTATATTTCTGCCAATTACACATAATCGCTGCTCGAACTCATCGCTGCGAACCATTATAACCCCCCGATGCGGATTCGTTATTATAATAAGCCTTTACAGCCGAACGTTCGCGTTACCATTGATACCGCGCGGCGAATGCTCGCCGGAGGGCTGCGCATCGCAACTTTGCCTATTGTTATCCCGTAACAACCGTTCATTCCGGGTTACAGGCAGGGCGGACGGCAGTTTGGAGAATGTTACGTCGCGACTTTTAATTTATCGCGCGTTTGAGAGCGTGCAATCCGCGGCGAGTCACCGGTCGGCACGGAAACGCCGAACCGTTTTGAAATTACGCAATAAATTCAGCGGGGAGGCTCGGAGCGCGGGGGGCGCGCGGCTCGGGAACGAGGCACGGAGGATACGAGTCGTCGTTAAATATTTCGCGAGAGCGAGAGCCCGCGCGCACTCGCGACTGATTTAGAGACGACGGCACGTGCGTGACGTACCTGCGTATTTCACGCGCGCGACGCTCATCCTGCTGGTCCGTCCTGGCTCTGCTGCGTTTGTGTACTCGCCGTTCGTTATCCTCGCCCCTCGTTCCCTCTTTCTCTCTATTTCTCGTGCTCTCCCTTTCTCCATGCGAACAATCGGTCTGCGCGATAAGCGAAATAAGGGAAACGACACTCGCTCGCCAGCGAAAGCACCCGTGAATGTACAGACGACACGGCGACGAAGGAAGAAACGATAGAGTCGACGAGGGGAAGGGGCACGAGGAGAAGGGAGAGGAAAACGCAAACGGATAACAGCGAGAGACGCGGCTAGGAGAGGAACTCTGGAGTTCCTGCACGGAAATTACAGATGCGGCGTGTTTCACACTCGAGCGAAAGTGCCTGGCGAAGAGTATAGTTGTGAACGAGAGAGAGAGAGAGAGAGAGAGAGAGAGAGAGGGAGAGAGAGAGAGAGAGAGAGAGAATGAGGGAGAGCATATGGTAGATGGGGTAGAAAAGAAGATGACCGTGGGCCTTCTGTCTTTCCGGACGGATTATCGTTAACAGAAGAGTGTTAGAGAGAGATAGACAGGGCATGAGAGAGATTTGTATGTTCTGCAGATAATAATAAGAAATTGTCTAAAATCGCGGAACGTTGCGATGTTTTGGAATGTCTTCGATTCGGTCGACGCTTGTCGACGCGCGGAATCAACACACAAATTTTCCATGTCGCGCTGTATTTTCAATTTCATTCGACTGGAAGATTTGCTTCTCTCTGTATTATAACCCAGCAAATTCCGCCAAACTCTGAAGGATCAACGAAGGAGTTTGAAGTATATCGTAAAGACTACTGTCTTATCTTGATGTGTTAAACAGTGAATGACCTATTCTCTTCTTGAAGAGGGATTTACTTTAGAATTATATAATAATCATCTCAATACTTTATCCGTATTTAATATGTATTCTTAAATTTTTATAAGCAATATATTGTAGCAAAACTTAAGTAGTTATAAATAATTATTCGAATAAAGATTAATGTACTCAATGGATAAGTAAAACAATATTGTAGCATCAAAGGTGAGATAATATGATGAATAGTGCTCGCCAAGTTCGATGGAATTTGTAGGATTAACGCGACATCAAAATTTCAACTCGGGGAGTAATTAACTTTCAACATTTCGTATAATTCGACTCCTTCTCCCGCGAGAATCGCAGGACGATCCTCCGTTAATCGCATTTCGAAAGTTTGCAAATTCTAATTGTATCCCGATTTGGCGCACTCACGGTTTGTCCCTGAAAGAAATCTTCGCTCGGATGGGCGAATCGCGCTTGTCCTAGTCGCGACTGCGACAAAGTCTTAGGACACAAAATCCGGCGTGAAATAAATATCCTTTCTGAGCGTTAGAACTCGACAATTTTTCCCACTTTCTCGCGGCATCCTCGGAAATCGTTCGGAGCGGCATTACGGGCCAAATTAGTCGAAAAATTTTGATTTCAGAGTGGCGTGCCGGCGACACGGCAAGAATGGCCGCACATATCGATTATCGGTCGGCCGCATCCAGATGTGTGCCGAAACTTTTTTCCTCGCGTCAGTCTGTAAATTCTGAAGTTGAACTTTCCCGGTCACCCCTTTCCGCCCACATCCCCTAACCCTCTACTGCCGTACCCCGGTGCGTCGGCCGGTCGGTCAGGCAAACTTGCAAGTCGCAGGCGACATCATTTCGCTCGCGTGCAGCACAAGCTGCGACGATTGTGCAGCACTTGTGATGTTGCGAGACATATTACCGCTTTTTTCTTTTTTCTTTTTATTATTTTTCGGCTCACATGTCGAATGATAATGTATGTCCGAGAGCTTTCGGTGACCTACTGCGAAATATCTGTATATTGATACATCTCGCCGCGTTCTCCTTTTTTTAATTGTATATCAACGCCGCAAGTTACAGCTACAAGCTGCAATTGCACTGAAACCATGCTTCCGTTTCTTTCAAGAAACGAAAATAGCGTATGAACATACCGATCGCGTCCCTGGTCCCTTTGTACCGAGATCTCAGAGAGATGTCTTTGGTGTTAATTAGGAGCGGTGATACGATATACGTGCCCTTCCGAGTAATAGCATTGCATTTTTTCATGTTCTTGCGTCTTTGAAGAAAATCTGAGGCAGTTATGAGTTCTTTAATTACTCTTTCTCTCTATATCATCGTTATTTCCAACATACTTCCTCGTCAAGTGCATAGCACAACAGTAAATATCGATGCGCAAATAAGTCATTCGACATAGCGATAAAGTGATAGAAATAGGGAAAAATGCAATTCTATACATCACATTTAAGAGAAAGGCAAGAAACCATTGAAATTAAGGAAGATTGAAAGTAATTTATATCTTTTCTAATAAGAAAAGATATTCGTAGTAAGTAAATTGCAACGTTAGCGCGAATAAAAAGAAATTCTCCTCTGTTCTCGAAACTTTTGCATAGAATGATTTTTGCGATGATAAATTCTTTAACTTTAGAAAAGCAGAGATACATACAGATGCAGATGCTTTTCGTGTGTCTTAAAGGAAATGATGATAACAGACAACGCACGATATTTTGCATAACATTAAAAGAAAAGATACGAAAAAAGAATGACAGCGAAGAAAAACAAAGAGAGGGAGAGAGAGAGAGGAGAGAGAGAGAGAGAGAGAGAGAGAGAGAGAGAGAGAGAGAGAGAGAGAGAGAGAGAGAGAGAGAGAGAGAGAAAGAAAGAGATATGTTCAAAGCGACACTTCATGACTTTGAATTATAATACATTAATGTAAGCACCGGTGCGGAGAATATCGATACAAAAGAGACGCTCGCATGAAATTTCCATAAAGTTTATTCGGTGTCGTCGCCACGAATGTCGCCACGAGTCTCGTCGAGTATTATCGCAAAAGTGCCAGAAAAGACGAGATGTACTTTCGCCCATGTACGTATAAACACACGCGGTCTTTGAGATTCGATGTAATAACCATCAGGACGTTTGACCACCCTCCGCTTGAGTGTGGACGTCACGAAGGTGCGCGTCGGTGCTCAGGGATTAAAGGACACGTCAGTGTCAAATGAAACTTTGCGAAGTTACAATTTACTCCCTGATCCTGTGTCGACATCACGTGTCGGCCGGAATCGGCGCTGTTGCACATCCACCCACTCGTACCCGACACACACACACACACACACACACACACACACACACACACGCACACACACGCACACACACACACACACACACACACACACACACACACACACACGCGCAGGCATATACACACATAACTGCGTCTTGCCGACATCGTCGTTCTTGTTTTAGCGAGTGAGCGCAAACGAGCGCGCGCGCGTATTAATCGTGCCTCTGGCTTTTATGCTCATTAAATTACACAGCCGTCGTTGGATACGGTGCCGTTAAACCAGCGACATCACCGGTACATTCACGATCCGG